TTAATATGTAATCTCATAATCTGTGTGTGTGTGCGTGTGCGTGTGTGCGTGCGTGTAGAGCTGCCCCAGCACATGCTCCTTTTAAATGTAAGGACAAGATGGAACTCTGTATTTGATGATGGAGAGATTTTGTGAACAGTTTCCTGCTATCCAAGCTGCAGCTATAGACCAACGGCTTAGAAAGCCCATGGAGAAGGAAAAGTAAAAATAATGTTTGACATTTTTTAATGACTTTTAAAAGCCATTAAAGGGGTTATGTATGTTGTTGTTTAGCCAATGTAATATTTTTAGTTTTGGTTATTGCAGACTGGCCAGAATGGGCAATGAGGACCTGAGGAAAGCAGAGGAGTTTGTGCTGCTGATGAGGATGCATTACACATCCACATTGGCTGTTTCCAGCGAAAGATTCCAACCTGTGGCCAAATACTGCCCATCCTCCAGAAACTGCGCAAACATTACACAGTTCAGACAGACGACTCGTCAGGAGCATCAAGGAGAACATTTGGAATGATCTTTCCAAACATTACCAGCTACAGTCACTGTCGGACATATGATGAAAAACTATATGACAATCATATACATGGTTATTTATTGTCATTCACATTTTCTTCTAAATTTGTGTTTGTCCTCCATTTCAAATTTAAGGGTGATGATATCCAGGCCTTCCTGGAGGAAGCCACTGTGTTAGATCCCAGATTTAAATCTAAAATGGACAGGGATGAAATCTGGGACAGGATCAGGGCATCAGCAGTGGCAGCAAACACAGTTGAGATTGAGAAGGTACTTGAATTTGACAATGCCTTTCCCATATCTGAGAGCTTTTCTTCTTGCTCTCTGGTTTTTACACTGTAAATTTCTTCTCAAGCTGTCAGAGCAAAGAGACACAGGGGCAGGCAGAAGAAGAAGAAGAGGAGGAGGATTACGTAAATCTATTGTATCTTATTGTGATGAATGATGATAGATGGCAGGGATTATTACACTATTTCATTAAAAACTAAAGCTTGTGGTTATGTCATTATTTCAGACGCCACCTGTAAAGCAGAAAAAGAGGACAGCCCTAGAGGAACTTTTTGAAGAAGAGGACAGCAAGCTGCTTTCCACACAGCAGCAGCCCCCTGTCTCCACAGCCCAGAGAGTGGATCAAGAAATCCAGCTTTACAGAAGCCTTCCTCCCATTCCAACCAAAGACAGTGCCAGTTTCTGGTGGTGGGAGAAGAGTGACACCTTGCCAGTGTTGTCAGCTCTAGCTGAGAAGTATCTCTGTGTCCAAGCATCCTCCACCCCTTCTGAAAGGGTGTTCTCCACTGCTGGAGACACCCTAAGTCCAGAAAGATCCTTCCTGAGTGGTGAGAAGTAACTCACGTACTTTAAGTTTGTTTTGAGGTTGCTACACATACTTTGTGTATACTCCATGGTGTGTCTTAAAGTTAATTAAAGCGAGTTATAACAAACAAACAAATTTGTACTTATTCCCTCACCAAATGAGAATCGATAAGGAATCGGACCGTTAAGCAATATCGATAAGAGTTTTACGATTCCGATTCCCTTATCAATTCCCATCCCTACCAGTTACATTACATTACATGTAATTTAGCTGACACTTACAATAAGTGCATTCAACCATTGGGGTACAAACGCAGAAAAACAAGAAAATGCAATTTCCTCAAACAAGCCAATTTACAATTTGCTATAAATGAGTGGCGTTACAAGTACAATTCAACCGTAATGTCGTTCAGTTGGCGATAGTCAATGCAGGGTCGGAGACCCCCATCCTTCTTCACAAAAAAGAAACCCGCTCCCACCGGGGAGGACGAAGGCCGAATGAGCCCTGCTGCCACTGACTCCGAGATGTACTCATCCATGGCGGCCTTCTCAGGAATGGACAGGCTGTACAGCCGACTGCTGGGAAGGGGGGCCCAGGGCGGAGGTCGATCGCACAGTTATATGGCCTATTTGGAGGGAGAGATTGTGCTCGGGACATACTAAAAACCTCTCCTAGATCATGATACTCCCGAGGGACAGAGGAAAGATCCGGGGAACACTGGGAGTCGGCTGGGGTGACGGGCTAGGAGCTGCCAGGAGACACTGCGCGTGACAGGAGGCACCCCACTCCAGGATTGTTCCAGAGGACCAGGCAACGTGTGGCTCATGCTGCACGAACCAAGGTTATCCGAGAATCACTGGAACCAACAGGGACTGGATGAGGTAGAACTGGCGGGTCTCCACATGGTTCCCCGCCACAGTGAGGGAGATGGGATAGGTGCACTGCGGGATGTGGGCTAGTCGGCGGTTGTCTAGTGCAAAGGCCTCCACGGGCTCCTCCAGAGCCTTTAGCGGGATATTAGTCTGGACAGCGAACTCCAAATCCAGGAAACAATCATCCGCCCCTGAATCGAGGAGGGCCCCCACCGTAATCCGCTGATCCGCCCAGGACAGGGTGACGCTAAGCCGCCGGTTAGGTGGTGCAGGACTACGGGAACAAGAAAGGCGGCTCACTAGTATCTCCCGGGGTCCTGGTGACAGTGTTAATTTTGTCAGCTATTTAGTGGATTGATTCAGTCTTATGCATTTTTCGTCTAAAGACTAAGACTATTAGTTTTAGTCACATTTAGTCATTTTAATCCTTAGTTTTAGTCTAGTTTTCGTAGACGAAAACTAGACTAAAATGTAATTCGTTTTAGTCTAGTTTTAGTCACATTTAATAGCCATATTAAACTCCTTTTCTTCCCTTCTCAGGCACAGGGACCCCCTGTGTTGTATCTACAACTGCATAAGAGTCTAGCTTGCAGTACTTGGTTGTCCATTAGATGTCCCTCCTAGGACAGGTCTATAGCAGGGGTCGGCAAACTTTTTGACTCGTGGGCCACAATGGGTTGTAAAATGTGACGGAGGAGCCGGGCCAAGAACAAATGGTTGAAGGAACAAACAAAAACTGCCTCCTTAATTGGCAGGGGAAAACAAAAGAAACAACTCAAAATCCCTTGGTCCATGGGCGCTCACAGTTCAACGAAAAAAAGGAAAACTCACTCTCAATAATCCACATGGAAAAGTTTCTCGTAGGTATCCACAGGGAAGTCTCCAAACAACGACCAATATCTCTGGAAACAGGGCACAAACTCGCGAAGAGCCATTGGGAGTCCTCCAACTTAACTCTCCATAGAACGAGCTGCAGCTGCGCAATGAGCAGAGTGGCTTGTGATCCAGTGCACGCCCGGCTCGTCCCCGCCGCAAGGCGCGTAACTCTCTGGCTGGCCGAGCCGTAACACTAACCAAGCCATTTTCATTTCAGGGATCACATCTCCAACCCTTTAGGGCAAAAGAAAAGTTGTGTTTTGGCCATCGACATCTTCAGTTGTTTACCATTGTAATCGGTGTTTTTGTTAGACAGAGGTTACCAAAGAGGGTACAGCTAGGTACAAACAACAAAGCTTGAGCTTGACATTTATTTTTTAGCCCAGGGCTTGGAAAGGTGCAAAAATGGGTGTGACCAGGACTCTCACTTCCTGGCAGTGCTGATGCTGCAGACAAACACATTAACAAGGGTTGGGTAGCCAGAACCAGTTCTGGAACCGACAATCAACAAGAACCGATTGGATCAGATTTGTGACGACCATAAACATCTGGTCTGGACTGGTCCGTCTCCTTACCAATCCACCTGCCCCCCACCGTGGACATCTCTCCTCTCAATACCACGTCCAGTGCTTTGCGTCTAATCTCCATGGTCAATGGAGTTGTTTAAAGCGTGGTGCGTCTCAGAGTATTATTATCTGATGCCAAGGGAGTGACGCTCAGCGGACCAATTCCACGTTGAAAAGAGAAAACACTTCTCTTTGCCATACAAACAGTCAGTCCAACAGACCTTAAACATTCCAGCAATATTCCAGCAATAAAATTCAAATAAAGCAGTTTGCCAAGTACTCCATCCTGAGCTCCATGTATCACGTCTAACAGGTTGGAAATTGCTGCTCCACCTGAAGCTCCCAAACAACAACAGAGGTTTGCTGTTAGGCAGCGTCTATAGCTTCTGTCTCCAGACGTGCTTTCCCAGGCTTGCACATTCGTTCCAGTTTGACATGCATTGCTGAGATGCGGCCGTGTGGCTCGGCTTGTTTTAGGGGTTAAATGAGACGAATCCTGGGGCTCGGCTTTGTGGTGTTTCCCAGCAGCTTTTAGGCGTAATAGCTTTGCAAAATACATAAATCCTCACTAGATACCTCTTTTGAGTAGTGTTATGCTGTGTTCAAAAATGAAGAAACGCCGGACGGACAGAGGGCATCGCAGATCGAAAGGTTAAAATCAAATGTATTTAATATAGGAGATGGTGTTGTGGTAAAAAGAACATCTCAGCTGAGGACCCGCTGGTCATTGCAAAAAACATGTCCCAGGTCAGTCCTTTTGACCATCCCTAGTGCCCGTTTGTAGTCTCCAACTCGAGAACAATGGTTGCCTACAGGTATTTATACCAATCCTTAAAGGTGTGAAAGTTAGTGTCCACACCTCTGAGAGTCTTCTGGTAAGTTCACTGTAATTCGGATTTCGAATGATCCTTAGTCAATATCAGTTGTTGTGCAAGTATTACATGCATGCATTCCAGTTGATTACATTACATTAAATACAATCATAACTGTATATTGATGTTATTCTATTACAGTTGCAGAATTACAGTGGTTTTACATATATTGTCATTACTTTATTGATTACACAGTTTCAGAATAATGGCTGTATCCTGGTGTACATGTATTTTATTAATTTTATGAACCGGGTCATCAGTTTATTTCTAATACCCTACAGTTATCCTTTAACTGCCCTTCAACTGTGTTTAATATCCTGCTAAGTTCACGACAAGAATACGTATGAACTGAAAAAATATATCTTTTGTTAATTTACAAACACACACAGGTTCGAAGATCAAGTGCTGATTAAGTCGAGGTTGCTGAGGAGATCATTAAACCTGTTGAGCCAATGTGTCACTTATTATATTTGAGGAAATGACCTGCGTAGCATGTTCCACATACCGGCACTTGCCTGCTGAAGCCGCCACACGACTCTGCTGGCTTCTGTAATAATATTTGTTTGGATACATACAAATAGGCGCCAGAGAGGATGGTAAGGAGCTACGTTTACATTTCTGTAGAAAATTTGTTGGGACTTTAACGGATCAGCTTTTCAAAGTGATTGTGTAGAAATATTTTGCCACAAACCTTTTTCAACAAACTGTCGCTGTGTATGTGTATCTCCTCCATAAGGGTCCGTGTGCTAACAAGTGGGTTTAACTGGAGCGGTCTATTATTTCTGTATGTATTACACACCCCCGCCATACATTGGTCAGTTGTTGTTGGTATTATAGTCTTTGAGGGCCCTTTCCTTACTCAGGAATCAAATTTCTCTGCGGAAAATGTTAAGTTAAAGTCACAGATGCTTTAACTTAAAAAATGACACGAAAAAGGTACAACATTGGAATTGGCTGCTTTCTATGGAGTTAAGCATCCAGCATCTATCATAGAGTGAATAGTGAACGAGGGAACAAGGAAGTGATTCTGGACACAGTCCTGGCTTTATATACCTCGGCAGCAGGACGCATCAAAGGCCAACTTGTGAAATGAAACTAGAGCATCTTTTACTGCATTTTGTTTTGTTCAGATCAGAAGCCGGACAAAAGGATACCATGCTTTATGGTCCTTTTGACTCTAATATCATTTATTAGGGAACATTTTGCTGTGTTGAAGAAGGCCGGAAAATAGAATAAAGCCCTGTTGATTGACTTCCACTAACTGTTACTTAGTTGAACCAGTTAAACCATAACGTTAAACGTTATTGATGGATGTTGAATGCAGGATTTCTTGAGATTCATGACTTTTGATTCACATAGTTCTTAAGTACGTGAATTCAACATCTCCTTTGTTCGGTGCAGTACTTAACAAAGGAGATGTTTGAACCTGAGAGCCAACCTATTATATACCCATTATATACCCATACCTTCCCTGCTGTCAAAACCTTGTGTCTTTGTTCCCTGTCAATTGCAGAACTATGGATCATCTTTCATCTTTCCATTAAAGTGGCAATCATAATAGGGGCTTTAGCAGCTGCCTGACTTTTCTAAATACCACTGGTGTCAGTAATGCACAGCATTTCCATTTTTTATATTCTGTTCGATCAACAAAAAAGATAAAAATATATGATGGGATTCTTTGAAGCATCTTCAATGTAATCATCTGACTCAGTACCATTCTGCATCCTAAACTACTAAATCTTTTGCCTTGTTTCATCTAGCCCCACTAGATCTTATTGAGCCACGGCCAACATGTGGAAGAATATCTGTTGAGCAAAGTTAAAGACAACGTAAAAGAGGACAAGTCATTCAAGGTGGGTTTAGATTCAAACAATGAAGATTGTGTGCTTATTGTCTCCAGATAAAGAAATACGATTTTCAGTTACCCTCGAGAGCACAAGTAGGTTTCGGCGTGAGTCACTGCTGACTGGGTTCACCCAAGATACTTATCCCTTTTCCTTATCCTTAGTTATCCGTTTTACATTAGATGATGTTTTTCTTTCACTTAAAGCAAACAATGAACACTTACAGTGTCTTATGATTAGATTAAAATGCATGAAAATGCATTATGTATTATTATGAAAAAAGAGGTATTACAACTTTCGCATTGTTGCAGAAAAATAAATAAAGCCATAAAGTATTTTTTTAATGTTTTTTTTATTTATTAGTGTAGCAACTACACTAATAACAATAATACATATATTTATAACGAACTCTTCACCAACAGATCTCAGAGTGCGACAGAGATGGCCATGCACTACACTGTATTACTGCAATAATAAAAAGCACTATAAAGTGAGTAAGTAAGGAAGTAAAATATCCTTATGATGCCTTACAGACATGGGCAGTCAGGAATGACAGGAAGGGCCATGCTGAAGCTCAATGAAACTTTATTTTCTGTTCTTTCCAACCCGTCTTTAAAGGAATGGCAATACCCGGTCATGTGATCATGGTCATGATCACCACCGCCCTTCTGCTGACAAATATTATTTTGGAAACAAGGTGCTTCTCAGGTCCCGTCTTACAGGTAGGTCCACTGCTGAAGGGAAAACGTGGAAACTGAGGTTTTGATTAATAACACAAAGCCACTGTGTGACGGTGTCCTCTGTGCCTCCAGGTGCACAGTGAAGAAGAACACTCTGTATCTCCCGTCAGGGAGAAAAGGAGCGGTGAGTCCCATTAAAGAATACGATTGAATAGGATTTCTATATTGGGAAATATGCTGATTTGCTTTATAAGTCAAAGTCAGATGTGAAGATTTGTCCCAACATATGAAGACACAGCCATGAGATTGGTTCGCTTTTAACATTCATTTTTAAGTTGGGGAAAAACAGCTGACCTGAAGGGTCTTTTTGTTGCTGTTGTGACGACATTTCAAGGAATTCACGTTGATCAGTTCAACAAAGAAAAAGTCCAGGAGGAAACAATCCTTCATTACCGCATCGTGGTTTCTGTCTTTATAAGTTAACTTGGCATGTTAACTAGCCGACGGGCGGCACTGTCGCCTCGCAGCAGGAAGGTCCCAGGTCACTTCTGCGTGCAGTTTGCATGTTTGCGTGGTTTCTCTCCGTCTGTCTCCCACAGTCCAAAGTAATGCAGGTTGGGTTCATTGGTCAATCAAGTTACACGCATGTGAATAAGACCGACTGAAGGCCAGTTTAGGGTGTAACCCGTCCCAACGGCAGCTGGGATTGACCCCAGCACCCACCCTCTATGGATAAGCTGTATAGAAATGGAATGGAATGAATTAGTCAGTTTTGCTAAACTGGGCAAATTGTTTCTAGGCTGTAACACTACAATGTACTGGCATGAAAGTGAAAGAGTGTCAATCTTCTCACTGACAACAAGAAAACCAACACGACTGAATACCTTGTTCATCATGGATGCATGGCCGCCAACATTCTCTCATGTAAATACTTGCAGTACCAACGAACCAATCGGATTACCTTATTGATGTCGTTGTGACGGCCCCTGATCTACAAACATTCCAGCTGCTTCAGTCCCTGGCGAATACCAGTTTCCCCATAGTACTTGATAACAGCACAGAGATCTCTGAGATTATTGTCACAACAGGTGAGTAGCTTGAGCCTCAGGCTTCGGCCTTCTATGAAACATTCAAAGACAAACATCCTACCAAGCTTAATAGTATACACACTAAATCTGCTCAAACAGTGTGCTCCCCAAGAGAAGCTGGCTTCCAGTGCAGATGTGAGGAAAACTTTGCTTGGCCGTACAGCAGTTGTGTCAAGTATGGAGCCTGTGGTGAAATATCCGGAGGTATCTGTAAATGCATCGACCGCATTCCGGACGATGGCCAGTCCTGCCAGCTGATGTCAGGTAATCAAGTCGTGAACCATAATAGAGGCTGTCCTTGACTAAGAATGTGCATACAGTAGTCAAATTTGATTGGTCCAGTTGTTGCCAATCACTCATTTATCCTCCCTCTAGTTAATCTTTACGTATGGATAAAACTAATGCCAATTCAATTTGAGTTCCACTTTAGAAGAATGTCACCCCCATGTACTGCACAATGCGTGATTGTAGAATTTTAGCCCAATTGATATTTGTCCCTGAAATGAACAATGAGACCGTAAATGTGCTGTTCCTACAGCGCTGCTAACTCCGGTTGAGTACACAGTGGACGTGGAGCTGAACGTTTCAGACATTCAGATAGTGGACCAGCTGAGGATCCTCCTGCAGCACGGCCCTGAACTCCTGAGCTTGGGTCCCATTGTCAACGTCACTCACATTAACATCACCACAGGTGAGAATGGAGCTTCATCTGATACACCGATCGAGGCAGACTTTTGTGTCATTTGTGTGTGGTAACGTGTGTTGTGTACCATTCAAACAGGGTGTTTGATTCCGTTTGAGATGGATTTCTCTAATAGCGATTTTATTTATTAGTTATTGTTAATAATATTTGAAGCTAATTAGCATATTTCAGGAGCAGGACCACGCCTCTACCACGCCCCATCCGGCATTCCTATAAATACAGCCCAACCCGCTCTTCCTGTTCATACGAACACCTTACCTACTTTACGTCATCTAACCTGCGGCACCGAGATGCCATCGCACCTTCCCCTTCAGACGATAACAACATTCTCTCCAGGAAAGACCAGCACGAACCACTTCCAGTTGAAGTTTCCAGTATTCCACGAGATCCTAACATTGCCTCCGTGATCCAGATGCCGCTTTCCCCCAGAAGCAACCGAGTAGAGTAAGCCAGCCTCCCCCGACTATTCCAGGCTTACGACACGTAAAGTTAACCGGAAGCTCCATCACCACGCTACGGCCGACCCCCCCAAAATCCAGCCTTCATCAATCTCCGGACCGGAGCGCTGTAACACCGCAAAGAAACAGTAATGGAAAAAGGATTCTCTTTCAATAGATCAGACACAAGAGTTAATCTCTTAAATCATTTAACGTCACGCAAAAAAACGCGTCAAAACGTGTTAAGTTAAAGATACAAATCACCCAGCAGTAGCAGCTCATGGCACCGGATTGCCCCCCGTCTTGCAGATGCAACCTTGTAGTGTTTCGCGTGGCTTAAAAATGAAATACCCCCAGATGTTTGGCCCGCTCACGCTCTTTTTCACCATGATTGTTCAAAAAACATTATTCTTCCTCGCCTTGGTTGCAGTTAAACATGGAGGCAACACTGCCCCCAGCACTTCCCATAGTGCATTGCAACACCAAATGGAAATCACCACTACCACCCACGCCGTTTGGAGCTACCAGCACCAGGACGCCAGCTCACAGCTACAATCCTCAACCTCCCCAGCCAGTTTAGCCGGTGCACGGCACCGGGATGCCAGCATACTCACCACATTCTTCCAGACCCCCACTGCCAGGCGTTTCCATCGGGATAGACCTTTATGCCTTCCAGTCACACCATTCGTAGCCACCCATGCTAGTTGGAGCCACTAGCACCGAGATGCCGGCCCACAGCGATAATCCTCAACATTTACACAATAATGTAGCAGAAAAGAGAAACCTTCCCAGTTGCCAGAGCTCAGAGCTACCAACACCGGGACACCAACTCACAGCTAACGTTAATCTTCAGCAACAACATGTAAAAATGTAACACAACAAGATAACCTAACAAGGCAACTCGAGAATGTTACTCAACAAGAAAAGACACAAGGTAACGTAGCATAGCAACTTAGCACAAACAACGCAGAACGTAATGCAAACCACAACCTAACACTGTCAAGAACGTAAAGCAACAAGGCACCGGGATGCCCGTCCACCCTCATCCCATCCAAATCATGGGCCTGGTCCTCACAAGCCCATCATCGCTGCATCTGTCTGGATCTTAAAAGACCTTCAAGTCGCTCAATCACACCTCACGTAATGGCAGTCTTTTGGGGGTTCGCCGTGCCACAGGGCGCACGACGGATCCCCCGACGTAGTTCCCCACAACCCATCCAACCAACCAGACAAAATCATTCAATTACATGTTCATGTAATTACACTCATGACAAACGCCTTCAGTGGATGGCGTGGTCCTTTCTAGTTAAAGTGCCATCCAGGAACGCCCTTGGCTCTCCTTTGTAGTAATGCAGTGACAAATGTTACTGAAATGTTTATTTTAAGTTTACTTTGATTATTAAACCTAGTAAAGTACTTTGGTAGCATATTTAATATTATTACCTTTTTGTTTTGAATTACGTAGGTTGAACCTGAAAGTGTGTTTTCCACATATTGACACTGCAGATTAGCAGGAAAGGTATCGCATTGCATTGATACTGCATTATAGAGTTTATTAAACCTCTTTTCTGGTACGCTGTTTCTGTGGAAAAAGAGTCTTATCTCCTTTTTGGAGGGGTTTGGACACAAATATTTAATAAACAACACATATGTCCTCATTTTGTATTGAAATAGTCAACAACAAAAACAAAATAATGGAACCATCAAGGCCTGCGCACAAACACACATATCAAAGTTACACAATGTCAAATCCGCAGTCCCCAGAGACCAAACAGAGTAGACGACCTCTGGATAATAAATGCAAAAGGTTCCCATGTTCCTCGTAGCTCTCAACAAAATGAAATGTCTGATGCATGCAGTTTAACACTTTTACTTACCTTTCTCTTGTTTCCTTTAGTGTGTTCCCTAAATGGTACAAACTTCCAGTGCAGGTGTGAGCAACAGTATGTTTGGTCATATGACAACTGTCTCACATACGGAGCCTGTGACGACATCATTGGAGGGACATGTGGTTGCATCAACAGTCTTCCTACCAACGGGCAGTACTGCCAGCCACAGACAGGTGATTCTTTTACATATCAGCTGAATCGTGATGTTTTGGGTCGAGTCTTTTTACGCAAAGATTATGGACATAAACAAATGGGAAAATACATCTTTATGTATTGTAATAGAATAATCTTTTTGTGCCGGCTAGCTATAATCCTAGGCCTCATATCATTTCAGCAATTGCTCTTTGCTGATTGTATATATTGGCTTAATGTTAGACTGGGCATCTGGAGAAATCTTGACAAAAAGATGAATGTGTTTATTCTTGAGCATCAAAACAGCTGATGCAAACAGACTGAAGACACAGAAGTCCTAATAATCACAGCACGGATCAGAAATAATGGAACGTAATGCTTTTCTGTGTCTCTACAGCCCCTCCAGTTGTCTATGATTACCTGGTTTCTATTGAGCTGAACACCACAGATGTTGGTGTCAGAGACCTACTGAGGAGCATCAGTTACCCGATCAGCATTACCGACACCATTCTAGTCTCTGACTTAAATATTTCTACACGTGAGAATAATGCCTTTTGAAGTGTAATGTGTTAACATGGCATATATAACCCTTCATCCAACTGGTGATGTACTTAAATATGTTACACATTGAATTCAAGGTTTAATCTTTTACTCAACATATATGATGGTTTCCAGTTTGCTATCCGAGCAGCGCTGGTTACCAGTGCAGATGTGAGGACCAGTATCGTTGGTCATGTGACCAGTGCTTCAAATACGGATCCTGTGACAACATCACCGAGGACACGTGTGGATGCATCAGTGGCATTCCCCCTGATGGACAACACTGCCAGTCTGCTGATCAGCACAGTAAGTCACTGCCAGCTCTGTGTCTCAATGCAGAAACCCTTTTTTAACTTTTTGTTAAAATGTTAATAAGAATAGTACTTTCAATAAAACACATAGACGGGCCGGTGCTGAAGAATAATGTCCACATTCCAACTTCTCTCACATCAAAACTGTTCCCTCAGTAAGTACCATTCTAGTTGCTTGCCGCTGCTGCTAAAATCCACCTGATACAGAGTGAATGAATGAATGAGGAAATGAAAGCGCGCTGTGTGATTGGCTGGGCTGCTGTCAGAGGGAGGAGCCAGCCTAAGTTGGGGAAAAACGGCTGACCTGAAGGGTCTTTTTGTTGCTGTTGTGACGACATTTCAAGGAATTCACATTGATCAGTTCAACAAAGAAAAAGTCCAGGAGGAAACAATCCTTCATTACTGCATCGTGGTTTCTGTCTTTATAAGTTAACTTGGCATGTTAACTAGTCGACGGGCGGCACTGTCGCCTCGCAGCAGGAAGGTCCCAGGTCACTTCTGCGTGCAGTTTGCATGTTTGCGTGGTTTCTCTCCGTCTGTCTCCCACAGTCCAAAGTAACGCAGGTTGGGTTCATTGGTCAATCAAGTTACACGCATGTGAATAAGACCGACTGAAGGCCAGTTTAGGGTGTAACCCGTCCCAACGGCAGCTGGGATTGACCCCAGCACCCACCCTCTATGGATAAGCTGTATAGAAATGGAATGGAATGAATTAGTCAGTTTTGCTAAACTGGGCAAATTGTTTCTAGGCTGTAACACTACAATGTACTGGCATGAAAGTGTTGTCAATCTTCTCACTGACAACAAGAAAACCAACACGACTGAATACCTTGTTCATCATGCATGCATGGCCGCCAACATTCTCTCATGTAAATACTTGCAGTACCAACGAACCAATCGGATTACCTTATTGATGTCGTTGTGACGGCCCCTGATCTACAAACATTCCAGCTGCTTCAGTCCCTGGCGAATACCAGTTTCCCCATAGTACTTGATAACAGCACAGAGATCTCTGAGATTATTGTCACAACAGGTGAGTAGCTTGAGCCTCAGGCTTCGGCCTTCTATGAAGCATTCAAAGACAAACATCCTACCAAGCTTAATAGTATAAACACTAAATCTGCTCAAACAGTGTGCTCCCCAAGAGAAGCTGGCTTCCAGTGCAGATGTGAGGAAAACTTTGCTTGGCCGTACAGCAGTTGTGTCAAGTATGGAGCCTGTGGTGAAATATCCGGAGGTATCTGTAAATGCATCGACCGCATTCCGGACGATGGCCAGTCCTGCCAGCTGATGTCAGGTAATCAAGTCGTGAACCATAATAGAGGCTGTCCTTGACTAAGAATGTGCATACAGTAGTCAAATTTGATTGGTCCAGTTGTTGCCAATCACTCATTTATCCTCCCTCTAGTTAATCTTTACGTATGGATAAAACTAATGCCAATTCAATTTGAGTTCCACTTTAGAAGAATGTCACCCCCATGTACTGCACAATGCGTGCTTGTAGAATTTTAGCCCAATTGATATTTGTCCCTGAAATGAACAATGAGACCGTAAATGTGCTGTTCCTACAGCGCTGCTAACTCCGGTTGAGTACACAGTGGACGTGGAGCTGAACGTTTCAGACATTCAGATAGTGGACCAGCTGAGGATCCTCCTGCAGCACGGCCCTGAACTCCTGAGCTTGGGTCCCATTGTCAACGTCACTCACATTAACATCACCACAGGTGAGAATGGAGCTTCATCTGATACACCGATCGAGGCAGACTTTTGTGTCATTTGTGTGTGGTGAAGTGTGTTGTGTACCATTCAAACAGGGTGTTTGATTCCGTTTGAGATGGATTTCTCTGATAGATATTTTATTTATTAGTTATTGTTAATATTATTTGAAGCTAATTAGCATATTTCAGGAGCAGGACCACGCCTCTACCACCCCCCATCCGGCATTCCTATAAATACAGCCCAACCCGCTCTTCCTGTTCATACGAACACCTTACCTACTTTACGTCATCTAACCTGCGGCACCGAGATGCCATCGCACCTTCCCCTTCAGACCATAACAACATTCTCTCCAGGAAAGACCAGCACGAACCACTTCCAGTTGAAGTTTCCAGTATTCCACGAGATCCTAACATTGCCTCCGTGATCCAGATGCCGCTTTCCCCCAGAAGCAACCGAGTAGAGTAAGCCAGCCTCCCCCGACTATTCCAGGCTTACGACACGTAAAGTTAACCGGAAGCTCCATCACCACGCTACGGCCGACCCCCCCAAAATCCAGCCTTCATCAATCTCCGGACCGGAGCGTTGTAACCCCGCAAAGAAACAGTAATGGAAAAAGGATTCTCTTTCAATAGATCAGACACAAGAGTTAATCTCTTAAATCATTTAACGTCACGCAAAAAAACGCGTCAAAACGTGTTAAGTTAAAGATACAAATCACCCAGCAGTAGCAGCTCATGGCACCGGATTGCCCCCCGTCTTGCAGATGCAACCTTGTAGTGTTTCGCGTGGCTTAATAATGAAATACCCCCAGATGTTTGGCCCGCTCACGCTCTTTTTCACCATGATTGTTCAAAAAACATTATTCTTCCTCGCCTTGGTTGCAGTTAAACATGGAGGCAACACTGCCCCCAGCACTTCCCATAGTGCATTGCAACACCAAATGGAAATCACCACTACCACCCACGCCGTTTGGAGCTACCAGCAACAGGACGCCAGCTCACAGCTACAATCCTCAACCTCCCCAGCCAGTTTAGCCGGTGCACGGCACCGGGATGCCAGCATACTCACCACATTCTTCCAGCCCCCCCACTGCCAGGCGTTTCCATCGGGATAGACCTTCATGCCTTCCAGTTACACCATTCGTAGCCACCCATGCTAGTTGGAGCCACTAGCACCGAGATGCCGGCCCACAGCGATAATCCTCAACATTTACACAATAATGTAGCAGAAAAGAGAAACCTTCCCAGTTGCCAGAGCTCAGAGCTACCAACACCGGGACACCAACTCACAGCTAACGTTAATCTTCAGCAACAACATGTAAAAATGTAACACAACAAGATAACCTAACAAGGCAACTCGAGAATGTTACTCAACAAGAAAAGACACAAGGTAACGTAGCATAGCAACTTAGCACAAACAACGCAGAACGTAATGCAAACCACAACCTAACACTGTCAAGAACGTAAAGCAACAAGGCACCGGGATGCCCGTCCACCCTCATCCCATCCAAATCATGGGCCTGGTCCTCACAAGCCCATCATCGCTGCATCTGTCTGGATCTTAAAAGACCTTCAAGTCGCTCAATCACACCTCACGTAATGGCAGTCTTTTGGGGGTTCGCCGTGCCACAGGGCGCACGACGGATCCCCCGACGTAGTTCCCCACAACCCATCCAACCAACCAGACAAAATCATTCAATTACATGTTCATGTAATTACACTCATGACAAACGCCTTCAGTGGATGGCGTGGTCCTTTCTAGTTAAAGTGCCATCCAGGAATGCCCTTAGCAGTCCTTTGTAGTAATGCAGTAACAAATGTTACTGAAATGTATATTTTAAGTTTACTTTGATTAATAATCCTAGTAAAGTACTTTGGTAGCATATTTAATATTATTACCTTTTTGTTTTGAATTACGTAGGTTGAACCTGAAAGTGTGTTTTCCACATATTGACACTGCAGATTAGCAGGAAAGGTATCGCATTGCATTGATACTGCATTATAGAGTTTATTAAACCTCTTTTCTGGAAAAAGAGTCTTATCTCCTTTTTGGAGGGGTTTGGACACAAATATTTAATAAACAACACATATGTCCTCATTTTGTTTTGAAATAGTCAACAACAAAAACAAAATAATGGAACCATCAAGGCCTGCGCACAAACACACCTATCAAAGTTACACAATGTCAAATCCGCAGTCCCCAGAGACCAAACAGAGTAGACGACCTCTGGATAATAAATGCAAAAGGTTCCCATGTTCCTCGTAGCTCTCAACAAAATGAAATGTCTGATGCATGCAGTTTAACACTTTTACTTACCTTTCTCTTGTTTCCTTTAGTGTGTTCCCTAAATGGTACAAACTTCCAGTGCAGGTGTGAGCAACAGTATGTTTGGTCATATGACAACTGTCTCACATACGGAGCCTGTGACGACATCGTTGGAGGGACATGTGGTTGCATCAACAGTCTTCCTACCAACGGGCAGTACTGCCAGCCACAGACAGGTGATTCTTTTACATATCAGCTGAATCTTGATGTTTTGGGTCGAGTCTTTTTACGCAAAGATTATGGACATAAACAAATGGGACAATACATCTTTATGTATTGTAATAGAATAATCTTTTTGTGCCGGCTAGCTATAATCCTAGGCCTCATATCATTTCAGCAATTGCTCTTTGCTGATTGTATATATTGGCTCAATGTTAAGACTGGACATCTGGAGAAATCTTGACAAAAAGATGAATGTGTTTATTCTTGAGCATCAAAACAGCTGATGCAAACAGACTGAAGACACAGAAGTCCTAATAATCACAGCACGGATCAGAAATAATGGAACGTAATGCTTTTCTGTGTCTCTACAGCCCCTCCAGTTGTCTATGATTACCTGGTTTCTATTGAGCTGAACACCACAGATGTTGGTGTCATAGACCTACTGAGGAGCATCAGTTACCCGATCAGCATTACCGACACCATTCTAGTCTCTGACTTAAATATTTCTACAGGTGAGAATAATGCCTTTTGAAGTGTAATGTGTTAACATGGCATATATAACCCTTCATCCAACTGGTGATGTACTTAAATATGTTACACATTGAATTCAAGGTTTAATCTTTTACTCAACATATATGATGGTTTCCAGTTTGCTATCCGAGCAGCGCTGGTTACCAGTGCAAATGTGAGGACCAGTATCGTTGGTCATGTGACCAGTGCTTCAAATACGGATCCTGTGACAACATCACCGAGGACACGTGTGGATGCATCAGTGGCATTCCCCCTGATGGACAACACTGCCAGTCTGCTGATCAGCACAGTAAGTCACTGCCAGCTCTGTGTCTCAATGCAGAAACCCTTTTTTAACTTTTTGTTAAAATGTTAATAAGAATAGTACTTTCAATAAAACACATAGACGGGCCGGTGCTGAAGAATAATGTCCACATTCCAACTTCTCTCACATCAAAACTGTTCCCTCAGTAAGTACCATTCTAGTTGCTTGCCGCTGCTGCTAAAATCCACCTGATACAGAGTGAATGAATGAATGAGGAAATGAAAGCGCGCTGTGTGATTGGCTGGGCTGCTGTCAGAGGGAGGAGCCTGTGGAAGGTGAAAGAAAACCTCCTCCCGACCAGGTGATGTTCACAGGCTCAGTTACCATGGTGACTGACCCTGAGCTTTAGTTACCACCCTTTGTGAAACAGACAAGCCAGAGGTTCCCTCATCTCAAGATGAACAAACTCTGAGTTTCCACTAAACCAGCTTCTTGAAACGGACCCCAGGTGTGTTTTCTACTGTGATTGTGAATCTGTGATTATCTGCCGTGTTCCTGACGGGTTCCTCCTGTGTCCAATCGCTTGCACCTCCCCAGTGTATTTAAATTATGGCTGGATTCGAACAGTCCTTTTTGCTTAGGATGGTTCCCAGCTGAGGGAAATGACCTGGAAGTAGTCTCGTAGTGGCTGCCATGAATTCTCTAAATCAGGAGAAAATAGGTCGATTGCGATAAAGCGTTTGATCACCAGGGCAGTGCCAGCAGATCGCCTGCCATTACAAAAAAATCACCTCGGGTCACCACGCACGCGCAGTCGACCGCGGGAGCTAACGAAAAACTTGGTAGTGCTAATTAGCGATCCTTGCTTACTAACGGACACATTTAATTGAATTCAAAAGCAACCCTGGCTGACTCCATTCAAAGCAAGTCATGGGATGTTAATGACCAATATTGTATGGAATAGTTGTGACGGTTCCCTCGCTTCTGACTCGTTGTTTTTTAATAAACTTGTTGCGCTAACGGTATCCAGCGTTCTTGTTCTGTTTGGTTACCGCTACTACTCGTACTACTACAGTAGATCAATGACTTGGTCGATTCAAAAGTAGCTTCAATACTTCCTCATTTAGCTCCTTTAGCATAGGGAGTACTGGACCATCCTTTACGAAAAGAAAGGAGATCATTACGTCCCACAATTCCTTGCGGCAGCAATATATAAGTAAATAAGTAGTGACGGATCATTCGGCTGTTAACGAGAACTAACAATCATGACCGACCCCCACGCCTGCATGTCTGATGGCCTTGTAGAAGAGATGCACGCTGGCTAGAGCAGATCTGGGAAGGGGAATTTGACATCTACTCAGCTGCGCTTGACCCTGTAATGTTTTTCACAGAGGAAAAGTAGTCAGTAGGGTTGCCACCTTTAGTACAGAAAAATAAGGGATGCTACAGCCGACGGGAGGAGGGACGCTACCTCCGCCATTCTTTCAAATCGACACTCAAGTCCCGCCCTCCTCTGACTCTGATTGGTTTATTTCAGGTTCATGGCCAATCAAACCAATGATGGCAGTATTACCCAATACAGGGCCGAATAGGATGCTGCAGTGACGACAGCTCGGAAAATACAAAACAAACCCTGTCCTGTTCGATTCAAAACGGGACGCGTTATTTTATTACGGGACGATTCCGTATTTTAAGGGACGGTTGGCAACTCTAGTAGTTAGGAACAGACGTTAGGAGTTTTTTTTTTGACTATTCGAATCCAGCCTATATGTGTCCCTTGTCTCCTTGTCAGTTCGTTAGTCAATATTGGGGACTCGTTTTGGATAGTTTTGCTGGCCTTGTATCTTGGTCCCTGTTTGCCCCAAGCCAGCTTGTGGTCTTCATTAGTTATGGTTTCTGCGTTTGAGTCCTCCTTTCTCCTGTTCCTGGATTTATCTTGGCAATTTATGCAAGGACAACTGGTAATAGGCTCCTGGTTAGAATACACTGTAAAGACTATGGATCGCATTTGTGGTTTCCCCAGAAAGAGCTGTATATTCTTGCTAGGGAGAGGCCTTCCTAGCCCTGGACAAGTGGAAGACAATGACTAGATAACTAAATAACTAACTAAATAAAAGCAAAAACTGCAACAAATTATGATCAAACTTATATTTCATCTAAAAGGCTGGTTTTTAAATGTATTAAATATCCTAAAATGTGATGAAATTGTCAGCAATTTTAATGCACACACTTTTCCGGAATATGAATTGGGTGGCAAAAATAAAGATGTGTGCCTTTTTCAAGTGTAATATCAAAATGTTGTGATGTTGTACCTTCAAACAATCTGTGCAACTTTTAAATACAGTAGTAACCTTGGACATGTCAGTATGTATTTGTATCGATTCAGCACAATCTTCTGTCTCTCTTCCTGCTTACAGACTTCAGAGTGTGTCCCAATACAACAACAACTCCAAAACGAACAAGTAAGACTGTTTAAGATAGTATTTAACTCAATATATAAAAGCATTTACAAATAGGACATGTCTTAGAATTTCTTTTCAGATTCATTAACTGTTATTATAGATAATTTGCTGAATTTTACAATTGAAAAACGGAAAAAATGTGTGTGTTTTCTACTTTTCTGACAGTTTTCATACTGTTTAATACTTATAAGTTAATATAAGTTTTTATATTATTATAAAATATTATAGTATATTATATTAATATAGTTCCTACACCTTCAACTTTTGTTACCAGTAGGTATTTAGAAATAACCAATAGGACAACTGCTTCCTGGTTGACATTTACTGAAATACTTCTACAATATTCTTAATATTTAATCTTATGAATCATCCTTCAGATTCAACAACAGTCGTCAACACAACACCTACAACAAATACAACGAGTAAGTGTCTGAAAAATAATAGTTTTAGCAAAGAAATAACAAATCCAGCTCGAGTAAATGTAATTATTTGTAAAAAGACAGTGTTTTACCATGTTTTGTTCTGCCCATTCAACTACGACAGTTCCTACACCTTCAACTTTTGTTACCAGTAGGTATTTAGAAATAACCAATAGGATAACTGCTTCCTGGTTGACATTTCGTGAAATACTTCTACAATATTCTTAATATTTAATCGTATAAATTATCTTTCAGATTCAACAACAGTCGTCAACACAACACCTACAACAAATACAACAAGTAAGTGTCTGAAAAATAATAGTTTTAGCAAAGAAATAACAAATCCAGCTCGAGTAAATGTAATTATATGTAAAAAGACAGTGTTTTACCATGTTTTGTTCTGCCCATTCAACTACGACAGTTCCTACACCTTCAACTTTTGTTACCAGTAGGTATTTAGAAATAACCAATAGGATAACTGCTTCCTGGTTGACATTTACTGAAATACTTCTACAATATTCTTAATATTTAATCTTATGAATCATCCTTCAGATTCATCAACAGTCGTCAACACAACACCTACAACAAATACAACGAGTAAGTGTCTGAAAAATAATAGTTTTAGCAAAGAAATAACAAATCCAGCTCGAGTAAATGTAATTATATGTAAAAAGACAGTGTTTTACCATGTTTTGTTTTGCACATTCAACTACGACAGTTCCTACACCTTCAACTTTTGTTACCAGTAGGTATTTAGAAATAACCAATAGGATAACTGCTTCCTGGTTGACATTTACTGAAATACTTCTACAATATTCTTAATATTTAATCTTATGAATCATCCTTCAGATTCAACAACAGTCGTCAACACAACACCTACAACAAATACAACGAGTAAGTGTCTGAAAAATAATAGTTTTAGCAAAGAAATAACAAATCCAGCTCGAGTAAATGTAATTATATGTAAAAAGACAGTGTTTTACCATGTTTTGTTCTGCCCATTCAACTACGACAGTTCCTACACCTTCAACTTTTGTTACCAGTAGGTATTTAGAAATAACCAATAGGATAACTGCTTCCTGGTTGACATTTACTGAAATACTTCTACAATATTCTTAATATTTAATCTTATGAATTATCCTTCAGATTCAACAACAGCCGTCGACACAACACCTACAACAAATACAACGAGTAAGTGTCTGAAAAATAATAGTTTTAGCAAAGAAATAACAAATCCAGCTTGAGTAAATGTAATTATATGTAAAAAGACAGTGTTTTACCATGTTTTTTTCTGCCCATTCAACTACGACAGTTCCTACACCTTCAACTTTTGTTACCAGTAGGTATTTAGAAATAACAGCTTCCTGGTTGAGATTCACTGAAATACTTGATGTAATATTTTGTTTACTTTTGAGGTTGCAGTTATATATTTAATCGTATAAATTATCTTTCAGATTCAACAACAGCCGTCGACACAACACCTACAACAAATACAACAAGTAAGTGTCTGAAAAATAATACTTTTAGCAAAGAAATAACAAATCCAGCTTGAGTAAATGTAATTATATGTAAAAAGACAGTGTTTTACCATGTTTTGTTCTGCCCATTCAACTACGACAGTTCCTACACCTTCAACTTTTGTTACCAGTAGGTATTTAGAAATAACCAATAGGACAACTGCTTCCTGGTTGACATTTACTGAAATACTTCTACAATATTCTTAATATTTAATCTTATGAATCATCCTTCAGATTCAACAACAGTCGTCAACACAACACCTACAACAAATACAACGAGTAAGTGTCTAAA